GGTGGAAAATCGACAAGGAAGGAAGATCAAGAAGCTACGAACGGACAATGGGCTAGAGTTTTGCAAAGACGAGTTTAATCAGTTCTGTGCAGATGAGGGTATAGGTCGGCATCATACTGTCAGGAAGACACCACAGCAGAACGGTGTAGCAGAACGGGTTAATCAGACACTGCTAGAGAGAGTTCGATGCATGCTCTCTAATGCAGGGCTTGGGAGGAGGTACTGGAGTGAAGCTGTGTTAACAGCTTGTTATGTCATTAATAGGGGTCCTCATTCTGGAATTGATTCCAAGATTCCGTTTGAGATCTGGAGTGGTAAGTTGCCTAATTTTTCGAATTTGAAGATTTTTGGTTGTGTTGCTTATTATCATGTTATTGAGGGTAAGCTGGATCCACGAGCCAAGAAGGGGTGTTTTGTTGGGTACGGGGATGGTGTGAAGGGGTTTAGAATTTTTTCACCTTCGGAGGGTCGGGTCATTCTTAGTAGGGATGTTACTTTCGATGAAAACACCATGTATTCAAGTAAAAATGCAGAGATTTCAGATTTGAGAAGGGAAGGAGACAATTTATTACAGACAGATGGGGTACTTGAGGTACATCAGTCTACCATTGCTGATTTACCTCGGGTACAATATATTGATGATGATGCTGATGTTCCAGTGCCGGGTACTCCTGAACCTGAGATTACTCCTACTCATTCTAACTCTGGGGATGAGGTGGAGCAATCTAATCAGGGGTCATCTAGTCAACCTGACACCATTCTTGAGATGCCTAAACGAGTTATCAAGAAGCCTGTTAGATTGATTGAAGAGATGGAGGGAAGAAATTGCTGTGTTGATGCGATGACAGGTTATGCATTGAGTGTAGCGGATGATGTAGAGTCATTTGAACCTGCCACATATAAACAAGCAATTAGTTGTAGTGAGTCTGCGCAATGGCTTGCCGCAATGGGTGAAGAGATGCAGTCTCTTTACAAGAACAGAGTGTGGGAACTGGTAAAGGTACCGGAAGGGAGGAAGCTTGTGGGTTGTAAATGGATTTACAAGAAGAAAGAAGGGTTGTCGGAAACTGAGCAAATACGTTTTAAGGCTAGGCTAGTTGCTAAGGGGTTCAGTCAGGTAGAAGGGGTTGATTTTGTTGAGATATTCTCACCTGTGGTTCGACATACTTCTATCCGTGTGTTATTGTCAATTGTAGCACATTTTGATCTTGAGCTGGAGCAGTTGGATGTTAAAACGGCTTTCCTTCATGGCGATTTGGAGGAGGAGATTCTGATGAAGCAGCCCGAAGGATTCGAAGTTCCTGGAAAGGAACAATATGCCTGCAGATTGCTAAAGTCATTGTATGGACTTAAGCAATCCCCCCGACAGTGGTACAAAAGGTTTGATTCTTTTATGGTTTCACAAGGTTTTGACAGGAATTCATATGATTGCTGTGTGTATCATAGTAAGCTGGATAATGGTTCCATGATTTATCTTTTGTTATATGTTGATGACATGTTGGTTGCCACAAAGAATAAATCTGATATTGCTAGATTAAAGGAGATGCTTAACTCGGAGTTTGACATGAAAGACTTGGGTGCAGCTAGGAAGATTTTGGGTATGGAGATCTACAGGGATCGGGCTAGAGGTAAGCTTTTCTTGACTCAGAAAAGCTACATTGAAAAGATTTTGTCTCGTTTTGGGATGGAAAAATCGAAGCCTATAAGTACGCCAACCACTGTTAGTTGTAAGTTGTCTTTGTCTATGTCACCTCAATCAGAGGAGGAGTTGTCTTATATGTCTAGAGTTCCATATGCAAACGCGGTTTGGTTGTTTGATGTATGCTATGGTCTGTACTAGGCCGGATATTGCGCATGCTGTTAGTGTTGTAAGCAGGTTTATGGCTCGACCTGGGAGGGAACACTGGCAAGGGGTGAAAAGGATTTTTCGCTACCTGAGAGGGACAGCTGATATTGGTCTTGTGTACGGGAATGGTAAGGAATGCTTGGTCACTGGGTACAGTGATTCTGATTATGCAGCTGATGTGGATACCAGGAGGTCTGTGACTGGTTATGTGTTCACTTTGGGTGGTTCTGTGGTTAGTTGGAAGTCTACGTTGCAGTCATCAGTTACGTTGTCAACTACTGAAGCTGAGTATATGGCTTTAACTTCTGCAGCTAAGGAGTCTATTTGGCTCAAAGGCCTAGTAGGTGAACTGGGTATTGCACAGGATTTTGCTACAGTATATTGTGATAGTCTAAGTGCGATTTGCTTAGCTAAAGATCAAGTACACCATGATCGGACGAAGCACATTGATGTCAGGTATCATTTCTTACGTACTGACAAGAGGATTAAGGTGAAGAAGATTGGGACTGCTGACAACCCGGCTGATTTCTTCACTAAGCCTGTTCCGTTTAACAAGTTTAAACATTGCTTAGACTTGCTAAATATTGATTACTACGTGATGTAGTAGGCCCTGAGGGGCGAAGTTGGGGAGCTCCTGGTGTAGGTGTGTTGGCCTTAAGGTGGAGCTTGCCCGGGGCTTGTGATGCAGGTGGAGCATTATGAGTTGTTATACTTGGAGACGAGTATGTGATGGGTCTTGGTTGAAGACTTATCGGGATGTTTGGCTTATGCATGAGTCTTGCATCGGGTTTGGCTTGAGATGTTTTTTTCACTATGTCTTGATGGGGTCGTTTGCTGACTACGAGTTCTCGTCAAGGTGGAGATTGTTGATAAGTATTAGGTGACTCGTACTTCGTTGCTTTGTCCGCCCGATCGGGCGGACATTGCCCGGTCTGACCGGGCGGAAGAAGAAGAGGTGCCTGGCAAATTCGTTGAAGAAGCTGCTCTCGCGCCCGACCGGGCGAGCCTTCGCCCGATCGGGCGGACATTGCCCGGTCTGACCGGGCGGTGGGGGTTGGATACGTTGAAGCATTCGTATGGAGTTTTCTTCTCGCGCCCGATCGGGCAGACCTTGCCCGGTCTGACCGGGCGGAGAAGGAAAAATACGGAACGCGGATTTTGCGATTTTAAGTTATCTTATTTTATTATCTTTCTGCCCAAGTATCTTTTATTTTAGGGATTAATATAAAAAAAAACTCCCTAATATTAGTATTAGGGTTAGTGGAGAGAGAGGAGAGCCGTTTTTGAGAAAGACAAGAATCATCTTTGTAATCTTTGCAGTTTATAGTGAAATCATTCGATCTTGGTGCCCGTGGACGTAGCTATCACATCGATAGTGAACCACGTAAATTCTTGGTGTTGTTCTTATTGTTTGCATTGAATTTCTTTATTGTTTTCTTGTTTGTTTACGATCTTTGCTTCCGCTGTCGCACAACAGTTAACTTGAGTTACTGGTCTTATAGTACTCGCTTTGATTTCAGTGTTTTATTTCAACTGGAATTCCGCTATTTATAGCTATTGAATCCATTTCCTATGAACTGTACGACTGACTTTACCCCCTTAACTCAAGGTGAGTTAAGTCCTAACGTTCTACTACAACAATGTTCAAAACTAAGTGAAGTTGCTTTTTTTCCCTGCTGCAGCGTAACACGTGATACTAAAACCATTTTTTAATTTATTTAGATTTTGCGCTTTCCAATAATAAACATTTGGTGTTTTCAAGAAAATGAACTTGGATTTTCTCGTTTTACATTACAATGCACAATATAGACAATTTGAAAAGTATGAGTACAACTTAAAAGTCAAAGAGACACAAGGATACAACATAAACAATACCTTGAGTTTAGTTTTTAGACAAATTAAGTCAAAATATATTTCATACGCAACATAATTTAATAATGCTGTGGTAGATTAAATTTAATAGCTAAGATGTACAATGTAGACAATTTGAAAAGAGGTGTACAGCTTAAACCAAGCATAATTTGGCCTCATGACTAGATGTAAGAAGTACAACAATGTACTTTAGTCATGAAATCAAATCTCAACAAGGGTTCTTTAGTGGCAAAAATTCCCTCATCCTTTTCCCCATTCTCAATGAGTCTGACTTACACCGATGAGAGGTATCAATTCAGTAGAAATTGTACAACTTAAAAGTCAAAGTGATAAAAGATACAAGGATACAATGTTAAAAATACCTTGAATTTATTTACTACATTTGTCCCACAATAATTGACATAGTCAAACTTGACACATATGCCAATGTAATTGTTTGACCTTAAATTTATAATTAAATATTATTAAGGGGATGTTTGGTTCACGGAATATAGGTATTAGTTTAGAACATGGTATGGGGTTTAGAAACCTTGGGTAGGGGGGAGATGGGTTTGGCCCATTTCATTCCCTTAGGTATCAAATAAAAAAAGGTAATAGTGAGAAATTCCATTCCAAAATTGAACCAAACATATGGTACTAAAGTATCAAGTTCCAACCCGATATCACTTTAACTCCATTCTTGATTCCAAACAAATACCACTCTACGAACCAAATGCCCCATAAAATATAACAAAAATTGACTTTATGAAACTATATATTAATACCTACTATATAATAACATATTTCAAGATAAAATTTGTATTTTTATACATTGATAAAAATTAATGGTCAATGTTAGTACATATGTATAATGAAAAAAGATTAACATGTCATTTATTTAGAAACAAAGAGGGTAGACAAATTACATTGACATGTTTAATCTTTTTTCATTATACATATGTAATTTTTTGAAAGAATTTTTCAAATAAAATAACTCGAAGACAAAAAGTTATTTCAAGCCCATTTTTGTGACATGATCTCACTTTATACTTAGGCCTTGTTCACTTCACCTTAAAAAAAAATAATATGAAGTAAAAATAATTTCAGTTCAGTAAAAATAATATTAGTTCAGTAAATTTCAGTAACCATAACGAAGAAATATAATAGAAAATTAGTAAAAATAATTTCAGTTTAGCAAAAATAATTTCACTTCAGCAAAATTAATTTCAGTTTAATAAAAATAATTTCACTTTAACAAAAATAAGGTAAAGTGAATGGGGCCTTGTAATTGAAGAGTACGACCCAACCCTGACTATCTACCCTGTGTCCCTGTAACAAAGTCCAATGCAACCCAAAATCCCGAAGCAAGTGTTCTTTTAACTTTGCCAACAAAACTCACGTAGTCTGTAGCTCGTAAACTTGCCCACCACCTGTTCGATGAAATGCTTGATCGAACTCTTCAATAAAAAATCCCTCTCTTAGCCTGGATTTAAACTTCAACCTTCTCAAATTAATCTTTTAATTGTTGCAGAGTTGATTATACCACTACTACAATGCAACGATTGTGCAAACTTGCATCTTCTTCAATTCATGGTATTGTCAACAAAACATTGTCTTCTTCACTACAAGAAGCTGCGACTGCTACCCCAGGAAACTTCCTGAAATGGGGTTCACTGGGTTTTGTTCGTACATCAAAATTTGCATCTGGGTTTTCTCCATTTGAAGTGAAACCATTGAATTCAATCATGGATGTTGAGCGGGCTAAGTTTAAGACCCCTGAGGATCTTGCTACAATTTGGGATGATGTAAATGCATTCTGACTTTACCTTGTTATTTTTAAATTTCTCAATTATTTCTTGTTGAATTTGAATATATTTGTTGTTTGGTTTGCTTTACAATGTTGAAGCCTTAATCCCAATTGAACGGATTAGTAAATGGGTGTGACTAAGTTTTATGCCGGTTGTTACATACCGCGATCATCCGCCTTTACCCAGGCTTGGGATTGGCAGTCAGTGGGAAAGAACAATTTTGGAATTGTGTTTATTGAGTTGAAATGTTTAGGTTTAAGTTTAGGTTATTTGTGGGTATAAATTGTTAAATTTTATGTATGTAGAGAAATACAAGTGCTTTGCTGTCAAGTTACCATGCCTTCACATTGCTACTTGTAAGAACCAGAATGATATTACAGTTGACATATAGCTTAGTATACTGCAAAGAGTGTGTTGATTGTGCATTCACATAGTTTCGTTGCTATTGAAGGGGAACTGATTTAGTGAGTTGTATTGTATATGCCTGAAGATGTCTTAGCATCTCACTGAGCTTTGCTCATGTCATTTGTAGTCTCAGGATATGATCATAACTGTAAATGGGATACAATCTAATTTCTGTCAAGCTTTGGACAAATTGGGCTTTTGAAATAACTTATATGCGCGCAGTTAATCATACATGTCTTTTTTACTTTCATGTGTTTTGGGAGTTGGTATGTTTTGTTTCTTTTCTTTCATTACATGCCTTTGTGATATGCACTTAATGTGGCTTTCCTTCACTTTCAGTTTCACTTAGGAAGAGGTCATATTGGTGCCACAATGAAAGCAAATATGTACAAGTTATTCGAGCAAAGGGCAATTGATTGGTATTCTCTTGTAGTATTGCTCATATGGATTGCTTCTTATTAGTCTATGAAGCTTTTTTATGATGCCTTTTTGCTGTTCTTGCAGTCAATACTTTGTCATTCCCTTGTGGAGAGGAAATGGATACACAACCATGTTTTCTCAAGGTTAGTTTCTTTACATAATAAATTAAGAAAAGCTGCACATTTTAAAGCTAATTTACTTTGGGACTTTAGAGTTTTAGAATGGCTCACTGTGTGAAATAAAAGATGTTAAAATTTCTTGGTCATTACTATATTGAATGTAGATACAAGTTAATATGATCAATCTATAACACTCTCAAAATAGTCCTAAAATCCCAATATAAGAATCAGTATTCAACCTTTACCCACCTTCTTCTATCTGCTTGGGTATTACAGCACAAATTTCAAAGCAACTATCTATACTTCTACTTGTCAGTATGCCACTCTAAAACAATGTCTACAATAAGTTTGAATGTTGCTGTTTTTGGCAAAAAATCATGCTGAGCTCTTCTTACTGCTCTGAATTGCAATACTCTGTAACTCAGGAGTTTCTTAGCCAATTAAGATATAATGCTTGGTATGGTAAAATACTGCAGGTTCCTGCCACTGATATAATAATACATATCTATCGATATGACTTGCTAGTTGGTTTTTTAAATGTCCCAAAGCCCAAAGCAGCTTAGTGACTAAAGCTCTATTCTATATTACTATGTTTTCGATGTTCCATCCTAAAGAACACATATCATCTCATAAAAATTAATTGAGCTCTTTTTATAAGAAAGAAACACACTTTGAAATTTTAGTTGTTACTGTTGACCTAGACGAAAATAGTGTCTAGAATTCGGCTGAAAAGAATTAATTATGCTGTTGACTTAGTCTTCATTGGACTTTTATGATGAACTTACTTGTCCCTAGATAATGTCTTTGTTTTTGTTTGTTGGAATTTCCTTATATCATTACTTGTATGTATATCAGCCTAGGAATTCAAATACACTAGTATTAGGATATACATTTTTCAACAGTTGGATATGCCAATATGACAGCTTTACAGGTAGCCTCAACTGATGGCCTGCTGCTGTATGCATGCTATATAGTGCATTGTGTCATGAGCAGCATAAAATGGATTGGGTTTGGCCTTTTAGGATATTTTTAGGGTGTAATAAATCCATGCTAAGTGCAACTAGTAAATGTCCTAAGCACGCCATACTTGCATTAGGTGTTTTTCCTCTACTCCCCCAACATTGTACTTACTTCCACCCATCCTGTAAAAGGCGTAAATTTATGGAGGGGATTACGCTCGAGCCTTTGGTGCCTGTAGCCCCTTTATATAATACTGATTGGAATTGATCATCAATTGGAACCTGAGTACTTGTGAAGGTCTATTAATTAGTGCTTTAGAATTCTGATTTCTGATAGTTATTTTGTGACAAGTGTCCCGTCAAAAATAAAATAAACATGTCGTGACAAGTAAGGCTTGGCAATTTACCAGAATCACCTACTTCGATGATGTAGTCATTCTTTTGGTAGGAACTTTAGCTGCTAGTCCATGCCTCGTAGTGTACTTGTAGATTAAAAATTTGCTTGGATAGAATTGTGAGTCTTCTAGACTTCTCCTTGTACCTTGTCTACAGTTGTTTTTGTCTATTCTGCTTTTTCTACCTTGCTTATTATTCTTGAGCTGGAACATTGGGGTACTTTGTACTCTCTCCGTTTCATATTGTTCTTCCTTATTTTTTTCTGTCTTGTTCAATGTAATTTAAATTTTTTTGTCTTTCCTCCAAGCAAAGTTATTAGCAGCAATGCTACTTGGACTTATCTCCGTTTTTTGATCCATAATGAAGTTTAATATATCCATATTCATGCTACTAATGGTGAATTGAAGAGTTTGACTTTAACTCTAACTTTGACATGTGATGTAATCAATTTTGTGGTAGCCTCCATGTATCTTCTTCGCAATTAAAGTAGCACCCGATGCCCTGGTGAAAGTATACATAATTGTGGGCTGCAAATAATTCCAAAATAGTTTTAACCACAGGAACCCTTTTGAAGCAGATGAGGAGATAAGGGAGAGTCTTAGGCTGTCCAAATGATTCACTTATGTTCTTCAGCAGTGGGTGTGGCTGAGCAGCTAACATTGCCCATTATAACTGTTACCTTCCTGCCAACAATACACATATATCTGAGAATTTCTGTTTATCTAATTCTTGTTGCATACTTGCTACCAATTTTTACTAAAGCCAAGCAATCTTTTCCTATCTAACTTTTGTGCTTACTGTCCAGGATTCAACATCTGTCAGTGAAATGATTCATTTGACGAACAGCGCTAATGACATGCTTTTCTCAACTTTGGTATGCATGTCTCATAGACCTGGCAAATGGGTCGGGTCAATATCGGGTCGTGTCATTTCGGGTCAGTTAACATTTGGGTCAGGTATGGGTCGGGTCATTTTGGGCATCGGGTCAGGTATCGGGTCGAGTCATTTAGGGTCAGACCATTTTCGGGTCAAGTGTGTTCGGGTCATATTCGGGTCGGGTCAAAATTAGGTAAGGTCACATTCGGGTTGTTCTAGTTGTGGATCAAGCTCAAATCAATAATTTTATATTTTGTTATTGTTATAATAAGAACTATCAATTCGGTTTATGAGCTTTGCTACGGTTGAAGATGAACAATTTGAGTTATTTTTGGCACCAGACATTTTTAGTTCAATTATAAAGTAATTTTAGTTCGGGACATTTCGGATATCGGGTCTGTTCGGGTCAATTTCGGGTATCTGATTTGTTCGGGTCAAACACTTCGGGTCAATTTCGGGCTGGGTTAGGATCGGGTCAACTTTATTTTCGGGTCAAACACTTCGGGTCAATTTCGGGCTGGGTTAGGATCGGGTCAACTTTATTTTCGGGTCAGGTATGGGTCGGGTCAATTCGGGTTTTGGGTCGATGTTTTTGGGTCATGGGTCAGGTCATTCGGGTCGGGTCATCGGGTGTGGGTCAGGATTGCCAGGTCTAATGTCTCATGACATATATCTTCAAGTTCTTTTCTATTCTTGGCTTCTAGGTGTAACCTAGAGGCCCAACCGCCCAAACTAGATTGTGGCTGACTATACCATCTGGTTCATACACACTACACAGTAATATGTAATAGGCTGTTCATTTTTAGGACTTTGACAGTCAATCCAGGTCATGTCCTGAATCTGGCATTATTGAGTTAAGCAGTCAGGTCAGCATCTTGCGGCCAACTTGTGAGCTTTATTTGCTCATCTAATCGATAATAGAAAGTTTGCCACTCTTATCTCAGATCTGTGAATTTGACCTTGTATTCAAACTTTAGATTAAATTTATGCTTGTACACTCTCTCTGTTGAATGTCCTCCCCAAATGAAATGTTGGAATCTTGCTGTAAAGATGTGCGTGTCATTGTTCAAAGTAGCATGAACGAAGTAGCAACAAGCAATCAGTCTTTTTTCTTCTGTATGACAATGACAACTTTTGATATTTCCATGTATCAGCTGCAGATAAGTTGACCAATGATGAGATCCTGTAAGTTTTAGGCATCTATTATTCTATCCACTCAAACATTTCCTGTAATAATATTTGCAGTGAAGATCCCACACATTATTTTCACTGGACTGGAAGATTATAAAGCTCGAGGAACTCAAGCATCTCCTTATTTTACAGTTACACACTACTCCGAATTTGCAGATACCAAAGACTTGGTACTTGTTCGTGGAGACGTAGTATTTACCAGCAAGCTCACTGATGAGGAAGCAAAAGTGCTTTTGGAGACCACTCAATCCTTTTATCTTAATGATGTAAGGTACAAGTTAGTGGAACGGTTCAACAAACAGACTCAGGACTTCGAATTCAAGGATGTATTGCAGGCCTTGAATATGCCTTCAACGTAATTTTTTTTTTTACATTTTTCCTCAAAATGATGACAGCTTTATATCTGTGGAAGTTTGGGAAACTATGTAGAATAAAAATCAAGATGCAGATGAGTTTCTTGCTTCGCGCTCCTATTTAAGTTTTCTGTTACTTGCCCCATGTTCAATGCTTGTATTGTAATTTGTAACTGATACTGATATTGATCACCCAATTGGACCACAACATTGTAACATTTCCCATCCCAACCCCGTGTTGGTTGCCTGCTAGCAGAGTACACTTAAACTTTATTGATGCCTTTTCTTTGCCTCAATCAAGCTTGCTTTACTTGGGTCTTGAGGTTTAAAATGAAAATGAACAAGTTGAGGATACAAGAGTTGTAGCTCAAGAATTTTTTTTTTTTTCAAATTATAATACAGAGTAATATAGCATATGTTGACATATTCTTCGATGGTTTATGGAACTATCTTAAAAAATATGTCTAGTTCACTATACATCGATTTATACAACAAAGTTAATGAAGGGTTAAGAGTTGTTTGAACCTCATGAGTAAAAAAACTCCTAGAAATGTTTACTATATGGTTTTAAATATCATTACTAGGCTAAACTAATCTAAAATTAGTTGCACTTTCTTAAAAAATGCTCTAATTATGGGTCTTCAATTCTTCATTAAGGATTACAATTTGTTGTCTATAGATGGAGATCGATTTCCTTCTCTCACATGAAGAGGGAAGTTGACGAAATCAATAGAAAGAGCGACACAAAACAGTTTTGTAGATAAGATTTGATTCCAAATTTCAAATACCACTCGTAAGACTTAACCAATTAAACTAGTTGACATTCACTATAAAACCTTATAATTAACCACAAAAACTGCAAAATCTTAAACAACAACTTTTATATGTGGCTAGTCATCATGGGGTTTATTTTGTTAGTATTAAATGGGATACTCGATCAGTATTATAAGAGTTACTCCGTCAATGTTATAGGGGTTACTTTGTTCTTTTATAATGTGGTCAGGCGCACATAAAATAACTAAATCTTAAAATCACACCAAATAAAACTAGGACAACATAAACATACAATTATTCATTGGCATAAATGTGGAAACAAAACCATAACCTCCTAGCATTCTACATTTCTACTTGCAAGTGTTGTGACTATTTGTGACTACTACTATCCTTTACTCCCAAAAACTCCGAATTGTACCGTTTTTCCCACAAAACCCTCCTCCAACTCCATCCCCATCTTCTTCTACACTCTTCCACTCTCTCAATAAACACACCTTCAAATTTTCGCTCCTCTGCAGTTTTCTCTCTCCTCTTCTCTGTAAGTCTCCAAAACCCACACTATATATTATAAACTGAATTATTCATGGTCCATTTTCATCTTCCTCATTTTCTCTCTCCTCTACTTTCCAGGCTTTTCTCTCTCCTCTCCTTCATCAATGGATGACGCCGCCGCCACCACCACCACCTCTGCCACCACTCCCGCCGCCGCCGACGACGCCAAAGACATTGAGAACCTCTACGAGTATGGCGAGCGTCTTAATGAAGCTAAAGACAAGTCTCAGGTTTGCTCTCCTTTTTCTCTCTCCTCTTTTTTCAATTTCTAGGGTTTGTTCTTTTTTTTGGTTTGTTTTGGAGGTAATTTGATTGTTTTAGTGCTGAATTTGTTTGTTTTTTGTGTGTGAATTGTAGAATGTGAAGGATTACGAGGGGATAATTAAGGCTGCGAAAGGTAGTTCGAAGGCGAAACAATTGGCTGCTCAGCTTATTCCGAGGTTTTTTAAACACTTCCCTGACCTTTCGAGTAGTGCCGTCGATGCTCATCTTGATTTGTGTGAAGAAGAGGACCTCGGGGTTAGTGTTTTCTACTAGTTTCAGTGACTGCTTGTGATTGTTCATTAGTTCGGAATTGATTTGATAGTCGCGTTGATAGTTTAATTTGAACTGATGATGTGACAACTATGTTTAATTTGTTCAAATTCCGTTTTAAGTTGTATTTTAGTATATTTTGGTAATCTTAAGGTTTAATGAAAGTGAAACTAGTAGTTAGAGATAGTTAGAGATAAGATTCTCGTTGTAAAGGTTGTTTATTGGCACATGTGAAGTAGCTGCTTATTTTGTAAGAAGTTCTGCTTGATGTCTCCCTTATCTCTGGGGTATTTGTTTGCATTAAGTAATGGTTGAAGTTGCTGCTTTAATGAAATGGTTGCTTTAGGTATAAATGCAATTCTTATGGCTCTTGGGATACTATATAATCTGCAAGGATTGGATGATATCATGCACATAGCTCGGAAATTGTATATGAAACAAATAATGTATGTTTGCCTTCTTGGCAAATGTAGATGACATCATGACCTTTATATCTTCAAACTAAGTTTCTTTTAGCTTCTTGCAACTATTGAGCTGTGAATAAAAGAATAATCGGTAGGAAAGCTGATCACTTGGAGTAGCAAGTCTGCCGTTGGATGTGTATTTAATTACCAAATTTAGTATAAAGGGTTGTTACATTATTTAAAGAGTGTGCCTTGTTGAAGGTTATGCTGTTTTGGTTATGAGAGTAGGTGACTCTTTGAGTAGATGAAGTAATTTGTTTGGAGGCAGTGATTTGAGCTTCATTATGAACTTTTACAATCCTCAATAAGCACAACCTAATTGGAGGTGGGTGATATATCAATGATGGTGTAGCTTATGTGCTCTTTTGGTCTTTCTCATGAGACAAAAATCGATGTTACCATATTTCTACATATCGTAGTCAATCCCTCTAGGCTCCACGATGTAATGGTCTTATGGAAGAAATTAAGAAGGATACTTTTTACCTTGTGAGAATTCTACTGGAGGGTAGAGTTGACTTAAGAGTGTTGCAAGTGTTCTTGGTCTTACAGTAGGCCTTTTAAGATTCCTATTCTTCACCAAGCAAAAGTATTCTTTACAAGATTATTTTTAGAGGGTGGGCAGGAGTTTCTTGTGTAAGCAAGTGTTATGAAGAACGAGTTGTTTCAAGATCTTTAGTTACCTCTTACATGTCATGTCATGCCTTAGAGAGTTAGAGCCATTGTCCATTTTTTTTCCTGATATTTTTCTAATTTTATCCTATCTTTTCAAATGTGAAGTTTTGGATGAGATTCTTTACAAGAGTGATTTCTAGTATCCTTACACCTTTTGTTTATCCACTCAAGCATACCTTACCGATTGAAATTATTTTACCATAATACTATTTTTATTTTTGACGAATTTATGCTTTTTGCACTGTATCCTTGTGCATATGTAAACTTGCTTATGTGTGTACCCCTGTAGCTTTGAGATTTTTACCTGCTTCATCAGTTTTGCTTTTCTCTAGGCTCCTTGACTTGACGGTAGCTATATATACGTGAATTTGACTCATAATTAATTTTCGTGTCTTATGATTGCGCCTTGATATCAGTTAAGTTAGGAGCAAGGAAACAAGATACATTTGTTTTATTGTGTGACAATGATAGTGGAGTAAAAGGCATTCGTATTTTATTTTATTAAAAAAGTGTTGTTTAAGCTGCTTCTATTGTCAGTAGAGCTCTGGAGATTTCATCTGCTAGTAGATTTTCACCCCACAGTTTGTTTTACGTGTATTACAAGATTAATGAGACAAATCACATCTTCCTTTTGTATTACAAGGGCTGTGATAGCCATCATATGTTTTGATTTTATGGCTGTTCTATCTTTGGGCCTTTGTATGACTGAAACACTAACTTCCCTAGTCTCTTTGCAGGTTCGTGTACAAGCTATAAGGGGTCTTCCTCTTTTCTGCAAGGATACACCAGAATATGTCTCTAAGATCGTGGACATTCTTGCTCAATTGCTCATGGCTGGTAAGATATGTTTGTTTTGCTTTACTTGGTAAACCTTTGCTTACTTTCCAGATTGTAATGTATTATTCCATGACAGAGGAGAACGTGGAAAGGGATGCAGTTCAGAAAGCCCTGATGTCTCTTCTGAGGCAAGATGTGAAAGGTGCGTTACATTAGAATGCCCATCATCTATACCATCAAGTAATTTTCAAATGGCCAGCTACAACTCCTATGTCTCTAACCTCTCTTTGATTTTAATTGCATCAAATTTTCTGAGTGATTTAATCTTGGATGGTTAAGATATATCCTGGACACTCTGGATTTATTCATTTGTTTCATTTGCAGATAATAATAAAAATAATTAAGTTGAGTCTAGTTTGGCTAATGAGGCTGTGTTAGTCTAGGATCTGTTTACCTTTATTCTATATTATCTTCCAATCTTCCCTCATGATTAGCTTTTCTTATTCCACGCTTTCTATTTAAAATATTAATGCAATTTTATTTCTCTGTTGAAAAACCACTATATTATTATTTGTAACTTGTCTGTGTGGGATACTAAGCAATAATTATCAACTTCTTAGTCCTTAATTGATGTATGTACTCTTTGAAAGATACTTATTTGGAATGAGTGGTGTACGTGTTTCTAAAGGCACTCATTGTTTCTGAAGGACTGATTCATATGCCAGTGTTTTTGCCTCCAGTTTACATCGATTCTTTAGTACTTACCTCCGTTTTTTTTAGTTGACATTTATTCCTTTTAGGAAGTTTTTTTTAGTTTACACGTTTCCTTTTTGGGTAAGTTTTTTACTTTGCATTTACTAGCTACTCCACTTGCTTTATCATTCTCGCTCACTCTCTCTCCTCTACTTAATATGTGTGTCTAAATTGAACGCGTTAACTAAATAGAAACGGAGGAAGTATAAAATAGTTGTAGAGCTAAGGGAGTAAGGCGACATTTCAATTAGACAAGCCAGTATTAGTTGGTCTTTAATACTAGGAACACCTTGAAGTATCTTGTGGGGTTTTTTTTTGTATTTTTTATTTTTTATTTTTTATTTTTTTTATGAGTTAGCGTTTGCCTTATTTTTTTTTTTTGAGTTCGAAATTTTAGTCTTCTTAGCCTCTTATGTGCCGCATGTTGTCCTGACTTAAAAGTTTCCAAGTCGGGCTGTACTTTTATTTGGCGCCTTTATTCTTCATGTGTTAGAGCTCTTTTTGTAGAGCTTAGGATTCAATATGATTAAGTTCCAGCAAAACCAGATTTGTTTTAGTTAAAAGATATTCAACTAATAGGGGCTGAAATGTGTTGGACTGGATAAATTGGAGAAGCAGATCGTACAAAAATTAATTGCATGCTTCTTACTTTTGGACATTTTTTTTGCCAATAATACATGCTTGATCGGAGATATAGATCTGGTTTCACATGAAGGATATCTGAAAAGGCTTTGGTATAGATTCAGTTGGGTTCTCAACAGGATTTGTTTAAGATCTTGCTGTTCAGCTTCTATGAGAGTGTGCTCACATTGGAAATATGAAAGGTGTGAGACTGTCAATAGTTGCATGATCTACCCTTGAAGTTGAAATATAAGACTAGTCTACATAATAAATTGGATGTGAGTCAATTAATTTTAAAGATAGACAGGTGCGAGGTCATTTTATGGACATCAGTTATGATTGGGCAATTTGCCTTATGGGATTACTTTACCCAAATATTTGCCTGTGGTCTCTAAATGCTAGGTTTCCATTCTCCATGGAGGAAATTTCTGTCTAAATAATTTTTGTTTAGGCTTAGGTTTATTAAGAGAGCGCATTTTGTTGAAGACAAGAGGCATTGAAGTAATGTGGCTGCTAGGGGAAAGTAATAATCTTGTAAGTCAATTGAGAGTTCAAGCCTCTATGCAGTACAATTAGTATACTTCTGTGATGCGTGAGTGCATGACTATTCTTGCATATTCTTCCTGGGGTCCAAACCATGTTTTTGATGGTTTGATAGAAATATATTTGTTTTTTTTTGCAGTTTAAGCTGGGATACTTGATGGGGACTAGTGAATAGGGTTGTAGTGAATGATATCAGATTGCATTTGAACTCTGTTTTTGAGATAGAGGTAAATTTGGTAAATTTCGCTCACAGCTCAGAACCAGTTTTCCTGGCTTACTAGTGTCTATAGAGCTTGAGGGAGCAGTAGTGTAGAGGTCGATAATAAGGGGTTGACATAATCGCTTAAGAAGACAGGTGTTATACCATCTTGCTATCCCATTTCATGGCTAATGGGGTTCTCTCTAGAGTCCTCTAAGCTCACTTCAACTTCACTAATAGAAGTGTATATGTGAACCTAAGGTCTTTTAATTTGGCATGACTGATGCTACTTTAATTCAAAACATATTACTGTGGCATTAGTTTCAGGAGCAGTAGCAGAACAGTGAAAGGTCTTTTTTTTTTTTTTTCCTGATTTGGAGGAAAGTGGCTTTAAACATAGATTTGAAAACAAGGGGCTGAGTCATTGTTTATTGTTAGGTACTGCCTTTTTGAAACTTTAACAGAGCACTATATACTGATTTGTGGAACATATCATTTTTTCTGGAATTTGCAATACTTGAATATTATATCTAAATATTGGAAATTCTCAGATTGTTGATGTACTCCGTAGTATTTAATGAATTTTCTGTTGCAGCATCATTATCTGCGTTGTTTAAGCATATTGAGAGCATAGAAGAGAGTACTGATGAAAATATTCGGGAGAAGGTCTTGGCCTTTATAAGAGACAAGGTACAGTATTCTATTTACCTGTTACTCAATTCTGATCTGCAATATCTAGACAGATCCATTGTTGTGTAGAGTAACAATAGCAGGTTGTCTTCTCTGTTTCAGAACTAATCAAGCTGTGTGTGCAGGTTTTTCCTCTCAAAGCTGAACTTCTGAAGCCACAAGAGCAAATGGAAAGACATATAACTGATTTAGTTAAAAAGGTATCATTTATCTGCCAGTATTCACCCTTATTGAGTAATAGAAGTATCTGGACTCTGCTGATGACTCCTGATAGCTGTATAAAACTACTTTTTTTTTAAAAATAAAATATAATATGTTTAATTAGTTTAATGTAATTTTTATTGACTAGTTAATATCTTGCAGAGTCTGCGAGACGTAACTGGTGCTGAATTTAAGATGTTCATAGACTTCTTAAAGAGTTTGAACCTATTTGGCGATAAAGCTTCTCCTGAGCGCGTCCAAGAACTCATTGAAATTATAGAAAGCCAAGCTGATCTGGATGCACAATTTGATGTGAGTCTTTATTTATTTTGGCTATTAATTGCCAATACCTTCCTTTGATACCTCAAGAAGAAGTTATTTTGTCTACGATTATGACTATCACATTGTTTTGTTCATTGTACATAGTTTACAAGCTGGATGTCTGGCGTAATGTAGTTCTTGGTCTTAGTTAGGTGTTTTATACACACCTGTTCTGGGAAATTCAACAGATATGAATCATTAGTTCATAACATATATATCCCTGTGACTAATCAAACATAAAATATATTTCCCAATGAAGCAGTAGTAAGATTCCTTGCCTTTTTAGCAATCCAATTAAGCTTGTTTCTAATGAATTATAAAACTTGTTAGTGGAATTATGGTTCTGCATTTTGGATATCCTTTTCTTTTCTACTGGATGATAATAATGCTGCTTCTGGTTTTTCTTCTCTCTGTATATCATATCTTTATCCCTTTTTTCTCTTGGGGCAAGGGAGAGGGGGGATTGCATGCAAAATTCTGTTTGTAGGGTAGGGCTATTCAAAATAAGTTGTCTAATTCAAGTTTTTTGATCTTCTCCCAATTGCAGGTCCTAGATGTAGATCATATTAACAGGCTTATATCATGCCAATACATAGCCATTCCCTTTTTCATGGTAAATATTGTCTTTTGTTTTACTTTAGTCCATTAATTAAATTTCCTCCTTATAATGTTTTTTGTGTTTTGCACAGCGGGGTGCATCAAATAGCAATTTCCTCAATTATGTGAACAAACATATAATTCCAGTTTTTGAAAAGGTAATTATTCATTGCAGCAAGTTATTTTCTAATTGCTAGTAGCACTCAATCTGTGTATAGAAGAAGTGATGCTTTCATTGCTTCTCTGTTCAATTTTTGTTTTACTGGGTTTTCTTCAATTATATGGAATTTTAGCTTAGTAAATAGTCTGAAGTAGAATACAAGAACCTTGGATGGGTATATGTAAAACAGGGGCTTATGACTCATATCAGTAACAACTTAGGCAAAAGGCTGGAGACAGACTGAGATGATCGAGATTCATAAGATGGGCTTATCTTAAGGAGGCCTAGGATGAGATTTCTAAATTGTCTATATTCACTGTATTCAGGCTTATCTAGCTAACTTTTCGGGGTGGTGAATAAGCTAAAAATTAATCAAGTTGAGCTAAACCCCAGGATAATTTTTTTTCTGGAGCGTGTTTCTTTCTAAAGTTGGGATCCCACATTCTCACATTCAATTAGAAAATACCCCACTATTACTTATCACATCTACTTTAAATAAAATAATGTCCTACTATCTCCTTTCATATCAAGTAATTAATGATAACCAAATTACACCTCATCACCAAAAACTATGTGCCATGATATGTGTCAAAACTAATTTGAGACGGAGGGAGTATTAATTTTATGGATTCCTTCATGGTATTAAAAGTCAAGCTTTCAGGGAAAATTCAGTACATAAATCAAATTGGCTAAATGAAATGGCTCTGTAGTATCTTTCATATATTTAAACTGGTCAATTGGGTTTTGGATCAAATCTTGAGGTATAGTTTTTATTAAACCTCCTATATTCTGATTCTGTTTTGCTACCTCCCATCTCCTCTCAGCTTCCAGAGGAACGAAAGCTAGATCTGCTCAAAAATCTAGCTGAAAGTTCTCCATATACCACACCACAGGATGCACGGCTGATCCTTCCTTCTATTGTTCAGCTTTTAAAGGTATGTGTTGTATTATCTATTTCATTTGTTTTTGAAATGCAGGATGTGAATTCTCTGAATATTTCCAGACAAAGAAAAGGCTGATATTGTGTACATGTGGTTTTAGAGTATTGGCTCTTCTTAAAATTTCTTCTTTTTGAAATTTGTTTCAGAAGTACATGCCTCGAAAGAGGACTGGGGAAGAGATGAACTTCACTTATGTTGAGTGCTTATTGTACACGTTTCATCATTTGGCTTCAAAGGTTATAGTTTGCTCACTATCTGTCTTTCTTGTCCCTCATTATGTATGAGCTTTTGTTGTTGTTTTTCTTACTAAAGGTGGTTTTCTATTGGTCTATTGCATTCAGGCTCCCAATGCTTCCAACAGCTTATGTGGTTACAAAATTGTAACTGGCCAACCATCAGATAGGATTGGCGAGGACTTCTCAGAATACTATAAAGACTTCACTGAGAGGTAATTGAAATCTATTACACTTGACTTCTCTAGGATGTTTCATTGATAATTGAAATAGTGATTAGTGAAATCAGATTTAGTCAATGTCCAATGGTTTTTAAATAGCAAGGATCAAAATACTTTAAGCATAAAATTCTTGTTTTGACTAGTCCTGGTAAAGATCCACCCTTGAATAGAGGCACAACAATATCCATTGGACTTTTGATGCTACATACTTAGGTCAAGGACTTGGGGGGCCAGGTCCCAGCCTGCCTTGCCCGGTAGTTGAGGCTGGGTGCAGTGACCTGAGCATAGTAGATCTCAGGAAGCTTTTTGTCACTTGTTGAGTGTTGACTTGTCCTGAAACAGCCTCTTGTGCTTACTTGGGAAGGCTTTGTGTGACTACCTATTTATGCTTAGGCATATCTGGGTCTGGAGAATAATTTCAAGGTATTATCTAGTTAGTCCCTTTGCTCTAAGATGGAACTTTAAAAGTTTCCTTTCAGTTGCACGAGTTTGATGACTGGTTTCTTCTTTTGGATGTTAGGGAAATTATAAATGTTGCTAGTAAATCTTAGTTTTGATTTGGGATTGGGTAGGGAGATGTGGATTCACAAATTCTTATTGACGCTTGCTAAAGTTAACTAAAGAGTTGCAACCCTTCCATCCATTCATCCGAAGCATGTAAAGCCTGTTACTTTTACTTCATGTTTTCTTGCAAGAGGTTATCACTGGTTAATGTTATTATAATTTGGTTGTACAGGTTGAGTTGTGTTGAGGAGCTCTCTAGGGCTACCATGAAAAAGTTAACTCAGGGTATGGATGAGCAAAACAAGAGGATGGCATCTGCTTCTAATGAAGTTAAAGACAAGATTGTAAGTAATATTCATTGTCTATATACTCCCTTCGTCCCAATATATAGTTCGTGTTTGTGTTTTTTCACGGTATTTAAGAAATGGGAGGAGAAAGTGGGTGAAGTACATGAAAAAAGGTGCAAAGTACAATTATAGACAAAAGTTAGAGAGGGGAAAGTGAATGAAGTACATAAATAAAGGTGAAAAGTAAAATTATAGACAAAAGTTAGAGAAAGAAAGTGGAAAAAGTACAAAGCAAGTGAAAAATTCATGGGTACATTAGGAAGTACACTGAATAAAGAAAAAAATGAGGGTATAATGGTCTTTACATACTATCCAAGAATAGAAACAGGAATAACATTTTGGTTCTCCAAAATAGGAACTATAATATGGGACTGAGGGAGTACTACATTACTGCATCTCAATGCCAATGAGGGGAGGAGAAAGAGGGGGGGGGGGGGGGTGGGGTTAATCCTTCACTTGTAGCAACCTACTTGGTATTTGGTAAGCACTACTAAATGGTGGTAGTTGTAATGAGCTCCCTTGTGATGCTGATTGAATGAAAAATTATGTAGAAAAACACATTGTTTAGATTGTTAAGGTGGAGAAGCATTACCAGGGAAAATGTTTTGGGACTTCCCTTGCAAATTATTTGTAAACTATTTATCATTACCCCATTTATTACTTTATACCAAAAGTACTTTAACTTTAAAAGATTAAAAGAATTATCAGTTTTTATAAGAATACTTGAGAGGATTACAAGTTCTAGACCCCGATATCGAGTAATTTCTGTTTTAATGTTTGATTAAAGTAAATTTTATAGAAGAGATTGTAGGGTACTAGGGTGTGTTATATTAATCACATTGTATGTGACTAACTGACTATATCTTTAATTTTGTGCAGAAAACTGAAAAACAAAATGCTACAACCGGATTGAAGACCTGCAACAACATTCTGGCTATGACTCAGGTATGAAAAAACTAGTACCTTCAAGCCTGCATCCTTCATGGAGTCTCAAAGCAGTCTACTTAACTTGTGCTTTTTCTGATTCAGCCACTGCATAAAAATTCACCTTCATTTATTGGTGACAAGAGGATCAACTTATCATGGAAAGAACCAGTAAAATCAGCTGTTCCTTCAGTTGCTGCTAATGCTGGGTGAGAATTGCATGCCAACTCATAGCTTGTATCTAACCATCATAGTAACTTCTTCTAGGGTACATGGCCACTCTTAAAAACCGAGCAAGAAATCTTAATTACATAAATCTAGGTTCACCTAATAGATTCTACTATCAATGTACTTGTACAGTGAGCTAACAATATCATTTTAAAAAAATCCCAATTCTCAAATCCTGCTGGTGATGCTGTTCATGCCTATCGAGCACTGCATCTTAATTACGGGAACTAGGTTTACCTGTAAATTTTACGATCAATATACATGTACTCTGGAAGAACATTAAAAAAAATCCCAATTCTTGAATCCTGCTGGTGATGTTGATTAGTGATGCAGGGGTAAATGCCATTCTTATGTATCGAGCTGAGTTACCCTAATAAGACATGATAGACATCATAATTACTGGGCTATTAGGAAAGAGATTCATTATGGAAAAGTAAATGGTTCTTATATGACACTTGTTAAGTTACTTGGTGAAATAACCGGTACAGTGTGTTAAAATATCAACATATGATAAAATAATTTATCTGTTAAATATGTATAATTTCTAGTATCTGAATTATATTAACCATCACGCTTTGGAGGTGGGGTGGAGGGGCTACTCCGGTCAATAGCATTTGCCTGTTGGTAAAGAATAATTTGTTTGTATGTACAAAGACTAATCGTGATCTCATAGGCATGATATGGGTCTTTTCAGAGGCTTCCCTGAAATAAATGTCTGAACTTCATAGAACTTTATTTGAGATATGTGTATTATTGTTTCTTTGGCTAGATGTAGTAAATTCTTGTACTTCTACAGGGTAAAACGGCCTGCTGGTGCTGCTGTTAATGGCTCCAACAGCAATGCAGCCAAAAAAGGTCGTGGAGCTGGAGGATTTCAGAACCAGCTTGTTAACAGGGCATTAGATGGTATTTCCCACGGAGGGAGAGGAGGAGGTGGTGGTAGAGGGGGCAGGGGAAGAGGAGGCTGGGGTGGACGCGGTAGAGGGAGGGGCTACAGGTAAAATTCCCCGGTTTCAGTTTCTTTTGATAATTGACGTGCAATTGGAAAGGAAGAATAGTTGGTTGGAACTCTGATAGCTATATACAAGGAACGCGGCTGTGCCATAGAATGTACCATAACTGCTCTTGACTGGCAAATGACAAAAGTTTCATTTAGGGAAGGCGGTTGAGCTGATGTTTAGCATGTACTTTAGTAGGGTTGGGATTTACTTTATTACATTCTTAACTTAAACATTTGTTTAATTTGAGACATTTTTTTTGGTCCATATTTTTTATCATTCCGCAGGGGGATTGTATTTTCTAGCTGGCCTTCATGAAGTGCCCCTTCTTTGACGTAATTATCCATAGTTTGTGGGATTTGGCTTTTGTTTTGCTTAGTAATAGTTTTGATGTTAGTGCTTAGGTACGCAGGTAGTTCTACAACTTTACCAATTTACAACAGGTACACTGCAAAATCGGATTAAGTAATCGTATGCGTTTCTGCTATGCCTTTCGTTTTGGAGTAAAACAAGCTTACCCTGTAAAAAACATGATCTACCCATAACCCATCGGGTTACCCGTTATTACTTAAGTTTAGAGATAGTGTTACTAACACACATTATTATCAAACAGAAGAAAGTACTACTAGTAAATTCTTGATATAAAACCAAAAATGATACAAGTATTTCCTTTTTCATATACTTAGTGAATATGACAGGCCAAAAAAGCATCTTTTCTTTCCTTAAATGGAAAACTCTCAATGCTTTAGCAGTAAACATTTACCAATTTCTAATTTCCTCTGTCCTCAGTTACTATCATGTACTTGTATCAACTAAAATTCAACCATATATTATATGATCTTCTTCCAAAAGATATGCTCTCTTAATCTCTTTAATATTTACTGTACTTATTGATTCAAACTCTTAGCGCATAGCGCCTATGTATATGTTCAGCAATAGGCCATGAAAAAAAAAGTACCATTTCATAGGTAAATAGTACCATTAATATGTAGTGGTATAAATATTTTGCTAATAGTATAAATAAGTATGTAAAGGGTACATCAAAATATTATACTACTGTGAAATATAATAGTACTACTAATATATAATAGTATAATATGCATGCATAATAGTACACAAAAATGTATCATTGTAATCATAAAAAGTACTATTTTAAATATCAAATAACTATTTTACCCTCCTATTTACAAAGAAAAAATATAGGCGCTATGCGCCAAGATGCACCCCTACAACTCTATTTCTCTTTCTCTCACTTTCTCTTTCTCTAAGCTTCTATCTTCTAAACTTAGCTCTAGTACAAATGGCAAAGAAATGCCAATGGTGTAAAATTAAGGAAGATTACCATTATTGGCGTGACTTTCCTTCAACAAATCACCAATTTCTTGTGATCATGGCCTACAATTTCCATCAACATCTGGTAATTTTCTTGCTATTTACCATTTTATTTAACTCATTATTATTAGCCAAATTTTTACTTGATTTTATTTTTTTATTTTATTTTTAATATATATATATATATATATATATATATATATATATATATATATATTTTGGTAGAAAATTACTCTAAAGTTTCTAGCATGTATTACAAGAACATAATTTGTGATTATGCATAAAGAAAAGTGTAATCACCGAGAATTTCCTTTGTTAGATTTAAAATGTACTTTCAAACTATCTTAATATCAACATTTTATAGATTTAGTAAAAAGGTAAGCGTAGAAAGAGTGTTTAACTTGAATATTAATTGTGCATTAGCTAGCTTAAAACTTCGAATGGTTAATTTATTATGAACCGAGGAAGTATTAAACTGTGAACATAACTTGTGATTCATATGTAACGAAAAGTATAGTCAGTGAAATCTTAAACTTGTTTGTTAGATTTGTCTTCGGTATACTTTCAAAATATAACTAATATTTAAATTTAGTAGAGGGAATGAGTATTAAACTTGTCATATTAATTGAGCATTAGCAAACGTAAAACTACAATGGGTTCAAGTTTAAATAAACGAGGAAATATCAAACTTTCCATATAATTACCCAACTCATCACAAGTTTTTGTTTGTTTTGTAGAAAATTCCTCAAAAATTCATAGAATGTTTCATAGAAAAACTCTCAACATGGTGTACTCTTATCGGACCAAATGAAAACAAATGGAGAGTGAAGTTTGTTAGTGATACGATGAAATTCTCAGACGGATGGGAGAAGTTTGTTAGTGATCATGGAATAGAGGTCAATGACGTTGTGGTGTTTCATTATGCTGGAGATTCGTCGTTTAAAGTCTCTGTATTCAACGGGGAGAATTGTTGTGAAAGGGAAGGCTCTCACTTTGCGAGTAATACTTCTTCTACCTCGGAGAAAGTTACTTGTACGAGTTCTTTGCATTTCAAGAGGGCTAGTGACAATAATACGAGTACTCCTGCTCCTGCTCCTGCTGCTACTGCTACTGCTGCTGCTGCTGCAGCTGTTGGCAGTTCGCAAAAACCCATTGTAGTTGATGAGGACGACGAAGGATCATATAATGACAATGATCAAGATCATGACCATGACCACGTGTCTGAGTATGACACTGCTACTACAATTGATATAAGTGCGGAAGACGAAGAATATCAAGATGAGTACTCTGAGTACCAGCCTGCTGTTTGGAGGCGGAGAACCAGGGCAAGATCATATTACTCTACTACAGGTTATAAGACTTATATAACACCATCTTTAAGATATTCCCTATAATTTTAAGAAATTATGTACTATATATGTGATTAAAATTGCATGTGTTCTGGTAAAGTTTGAAGGTTTATTTATATATATGTTTTGATAATGCCACATTAATTGTCATGATATACATGTATTACTTGCATTTCATGATATATGTAGCGCAATTATTGAGAGGGAATTGTTGTACTGTGAATTTTGTATCTCAGCACGTAAACCCTTTTGAAGGCGTTTGAGCTGTTATATCTGCATATAGCTCAGTATGTGTGCTCCTGTTTGGCTGTTTGGTCATTGCTCATGTATGACGTGTTTGTTGAACAACTTTTAAATGATCTCGATAATTAGAATGAAATAGCAGTAGCAGATGGAGCAATTCAGCAATATATGCTCTAACACACCTGATAGTACAAAAAAGAGTTGGCTTGTTTTGATAGTGTTGGTAGCGGAATATTTTTGACCTGATAGTACAAACATATGAACATTTCTTAAGATGATCTTTGAGCTGAATAATCTGATACAGGGGTGAAAAAATGCTCTCTTGGGCTAATGAAATCTGAGTTGGATTTAGTTGATCCAATTTGTGATCACGCCACTGTTTTAGATAGCTGATATAGAGAAAATTCAGTGAAAATGTTCACGAACAAATCATTTGTACATTTCATAAGAATGGACAATGGCATTTAGCAAAACAATAGAGCAAAAACATGCGGTATTTTATGAGATTTACGAGCAGACTATATTCCTGTTTGGAATAGTATAGGGAAGTAGCCTGTTTGTGTGTCTTAGAGTGATGTTATGAATTGGAGGTACAAATTATAAGACAATCTTTGGTGGGTGATTGAAATCATGAACATTGTGGCAGTGTATTCTTGATTATTTGCTGCATAATTCGTCTTTTGAAGCTGATATCGATGCAAAATGTACTGTAAGGCTCAATCTATTACATACAAGAAATCAGAAAATGCTATTACCTTGAATGTAGGCCAAATTTATATCTTTGAAAGAAATTAGGTGACAGACGAAATTTTTTCTTTTCTAACTCCTATGAAATTATCAGCATATTGCTATGCAGAAAAAAAAACCCGAAGCAGAATGTGCTACATATCTAATCGGAGGGTTCCTACAGAAGAAGAAAAGATAAGAGCTTTGGAAAAGGCTACAAGATTTATGAAGGCTAAAAGATATACTGAGAGAGAGAACAAGATTCCGAGCCCGCCTATGCTTCAGATAACCTTGCGGCCTGCACATGTTTACTGGGGATTTATGCTGGTTTGTTTCCTTTCTATACCCTTTAGTTCTTTCTAATGAAATTTTTTGTTTAAGTTGTTGTGAGTGTTTTATTACTCTATTTAGAAGTAATTGCAACTCAAACCTCTAGTCAGCATGTTAGTTTTACTAGTTTCCCAACCTCAAAAATTCTTATCATGGTTCAAATGTGCAACATATGATCTTGTTTCTTATGCCGGGAATCAGATTGTTTGGTTTTAACCTGAAAAGTTATTATAAACAATAGAGATGAATAAAATTAATAACACAGAATTTACTTGGTTCGGTCTATGTGAACTACAGTCCTACATCTTAGTGTGGAGAGGCTCAATTAATTTATCCTTTTGCATCTTAGTGTGTGACTGCAGTTATGTTCAAGAAGTGAAGAGGTTAGGTTAATAATACAAGCTAATGCCCGTAAACTCATTAACGAGTTGCCAATGTTGAAAGGCTTCGGCCATGTTAAAAGGACTATGCTACATTTGCCCGTTGGGTAATCCATCCACTAGTTAGCGAGGTTTAAAAGTATTCTAAATTGTTGAGTTGGATTTCACTACGTTTTTATGTGTATACTAATGCGTTACTAACCTCAATGAATACAAATATTCTTTGTTTCTCTTATTGTACATAAGTACATAATTCACACGTTTTTGATATGCTATAATTTAGTATTAACAACTTCTATATGTGAATGTGTAAGCAGAAAATCCCAAAAAAATGGGCAATAGAGCATATGGTCCATGGCTCTCAGGACGTGAAGCTGCAGGTCGGAGAATATAGACAATAAAAATGAATAAACTAAAAAGAAAGAAAAAAATTCTATAAATTTACCCTTTTGCATCTTAGTGTGTGTCTGCAGCTATGTACAAGAAGTGAAGAGGTTAAGTTAATTAATAAGACAAGCTAATGCCCGTAAACTCATTAACGAGTTGCCAATGTTGAAAGGCTTAATTCGGCTATGTTAGAAGGACTATGCTACATTTGCCGGTTGGGTAATCCATCCACTTGATAAAGAGGTTAAAAAATATTCTAAATTGTTGAGTTGGATTTCGCTACGTTTTATGTGTATGCTAGCGCGTTACTAACCTCAGTGAAGACAGATATTCTTTGTTTCTCTTATTGTACATATTCACACGTTTTTGATATGCATAATTCAGTAATTTACCAACTTTTATATGTGGATGTGTAAGCAGACAATCCCAAAGAAATGGGCAATAGAGCATATGGTCCATGGCCCTCAGGACGTGAAGCTGCAGGTCGGAGACCGAAGCTGGAATGTTGGATACAGAGTGACTAAGTCTTGTAATAAGGTTGTTCAATACCTCAATCCAAACTCGCAGAAATTTGTGTTTGACAACAATTTGGAGGAGCACGATACGTGTGTGTTCGAGCTGATTCAGAAAGGGCTCTTATCCGTCTTTAACGTCTACATATTTCGTGTCATTGATGAAATTGTTCCCTTGACACTGTCAAATTACAGAGCTTAAGCTGATTGAAGTTAAGTATGATAACAAGGAAGATCGAATACAAATACAAGTACTCCGTAGCTGCTAGATGGCAAAGTTTGTTTGAACTTTTACTACTAAATCAGATGGTTCAATTTGTATAACTTGGTACTTAGAACTTAGAAGTTGGCCTGGAAAATATTTGAGTAGGAATTAAATCAAACCAGCACTTTATTGAATGTATTGATCTTGTTTGTGCATGTATGATATTTAGACTTAGAGCAACACCTTTGTTATTTGATCCTGTTAAATTGAGTTTTTATGTTTTGAAAATAGATTAAATTTTTTTTTTTTTTAGTTATTATACTTAATGATCCTTATAGATATAATAAAGGAAGCATGAGCATTTTACGGTAAAACACATTACTCCCTCTATCCCCTTAGCTTGTTTGCTCTTAAGGGGTGTAATTTTGTACAAAATTTTTGGTTGGATAGAGTTGACAGGAGTGAAACTAGTGGGATCAAATGTAGTGGATCTATCTATAACTAATACTAAAGTAATTATCGTTGCCATCATAACTATCCACGTGGCAGCTTCTTATAACACATTTTCCTTTAAAACTATTATTGACATCATTTTTTTTTTCAATGTAAAACTGATGTTGGAAAATGATTGATTAGTTATACATTTTTCTAAAAGCTTTTATGACTAAATTGAATAAATACATAATTTCCTATGGAGTAAAAATAATTGACGGTTGGTCTCTTTCACATTCTTTTTTTTTTCCTGCTATATTTTTTTTAAAAGAAAAAAACAATAATCTCCTACATTTTATTAGTGATTGTACAGTTTGAATTTTTCACTCGACTTTGAATTTTTCAATTTTTATTATAACTATAAAGTTAATTAGAATAATTAACATCATGCTCTTCATTTTAGCTCAATTAATCTAAATAGAGGGATCATGATTTATTGTGTTTTGATTATAACATTTGTATTATACACTTACAAGTAAATTTTTTTATTATTAATACCATGCCTTTCACGGGACTATCCAAGAGCACGAATATAGTAATGACTCCTCGTTATAATTCATAGTATGAGGTAAATTCAGAAGGACAACTTAAAATCATGACAAATTTCAAGGAGTGGAGAGGGTAGAGATAGAAGGAGGAGGGTTTTACTAATTAGTCTATTAGACGTGCAATTACTTATTTTTCTTAATTTAAATGGAGAAGTTTATAATATATTATTATTTTTTTTTTTATTTTTTTTTTATGATGTTTATAATATATTAATTTTTTTTATGAAGTTTATAATATATTTTTTTTTTATGATGTTTATAATATATTAATTTTTTTTATGAAGTTTATAATATATTAATTTTTTTTATGAAGTTTATAATATATTATTATTTTTTTTTATTTATTTTTTTTAGCAATAATATATTAAATTTTCAGAACCTGATGTTTACTGATAAGAATATTTATTTTAATTTGCAACCTTATTGTAAAAAAGAAATGTGGCTAACTCTGAAATAATTAGATTAAAACGTGAACAATGTGCAATTTATTTATTTTATGATTATCTAATTATTTCAAAATTAGGCTTATATTATCTATTACATCATACATTCTAATTTATTTATTTATTTATTTTTTTTTTGACGAAACATCATACATTCTAATTAGATTATATTGTAAATGATGAGACTCAACTTTAGGTATTAAAATACAAAATGAGTTGTAATTTACACCCAATGGTGATACCCACCCCACTTCTTAATTTAGCAATTCATGTGATATGTAATTTCCCAATGGTGAGACTCTCTTTAAGTATACTAATGTCATTGTCCAATGTGGTCCACACATCCAATTAAATAAACAATTTTAAGTTTTTACAAAAACGTTAAAAGTTAAATAAATAAATAAATAAATAAATAAACCAATATGAAATTGATAAAGCCCCGCTATTTTTTGTCAATTGAGACTCAAAGTTGAGTATCTAAACTTTGCAATTTTCTTTTTGAGTATTTAAGTTTAGATACCAACTTATTAGTATGCTTTGCAAAAAATACCCTCTCTCTCCTAAAAAACTCTAATGAGTCTCACCATTGGAGATGGTCTTAAGGGCCTATTCTGTTTACCTTATTTCAAGTCTAATAAGTTCTGAGAAGTTCAGTTTAGAAAATATAAGTTCTGATACGGGTTGCCCAAGTTCAAATTATAACTATATAGAATAAGTTTCAATAAGGTGTAATAAGTTCAAATAAGTAAAAATCAGGTGAATAGATTAGTAAACATCATGTTCTGCTCACATTTCGATAATTCAGGGTGTGTTCTATTTACCTGATTTTCATTGATCTGAACTTATCTTAATTTATCTGAACTTACCTGAATTTATTAGACCTTATTAAAACTTATTTTAGTTGTAATTTGTACTTGGGTAGCCCTTATCAAAACTTATTAAACCTGAACTGAACTTAATTGAACTTATCTAAACTTATTACACTTAAATAAGTGAAAATAAGGTGAACATAACATACCCTAAGTATTATCTATTGTTAAGTTTGATTAATCTAAGTATACTCTAGCATTAAAAAAAGGTGAAAAACTAAGTATATCGAATACATATTATTGTTTGTCCACTCAATTCAATTTCTTATTTTTTTTTGGATGCTTGATACTCAATTACTAGATTAAGTCTCGTGCAACGCACGATTGTTACTAAAATTTAATGGAGTATATTGTAACAAATTGCATGACTAATTCAACAATAATGGTATTTGTTAAACATCGCCCGCAAATCTCCACATAAAGTCCACAAATTAGACATGATTTGATAATTTTGCCCATTTCTAAAATCGTACCCAAAGTGAACAAATCTCGATCTAACAAATGTGGAGTCGTACTGGGTTGCCCGGGAGACTGGAGGAGAGGTCGGAGAGGCGAGGGACGCCGGAGATACGTCGTCTTCGACGGAAAACGAGGTGGCGCCTAGTTTGGACGCCGGAACCATGGCAAGGACGTCCAGGCAAGGCGCCACAACCAGTGCACTGGCGTCCAAGCCAGACGCCACAACCAGTGCACTGGCGTCCAGCCCAGGCGCCTCAACTAGTGCACAGGCGTCCAGGCTAGGCGCCACCACCAGTGCACTAGCGTTTCTGCCAGACGCCGCCGTTACCGTTTAATTTTTTTTTTTTGCCTTTTTTTTATTTTTTTTTTGTTTTATTTTTTTTTTAAAAAAAAATAAATTGAAAATCCGGAATTCTATTAAAAACAGTTTTTTTTTTTTTTTTTTTAAACTATGTTTAATAAATTTATGTTTTGATTTAGGATGTGGAAATTTATGTTTTTTATTTGATTTTATAAAAAATATATATAGTAGACTTATAAAAAATAACACATAAAATTAATAAATGTTAAAAAAAAATCAAACACATTAAAAAAAAAAATTATACATAAAACAAAAATTTTTAAAAGTAACACAAATTTTCTGATTTTCCAAATAAAAAAAAAATTAAAAAAAAAAAAAGCGGCGAAGGTGGGGCGCCTGGCCAGGACGCCCACCCACTGGCGGTGGCGCCAGATCCGGCAGCCATAGCCAGTGGGCAGGCGCCTGGTTTGGACGCCTCTACCGTTGGCTGGGCTTCCAAGCCACACGCCACGCCACCGGCACTGGCTGCCAGAGCTGGCGCCACCGCCAGTGGGTGGGCGTCCTGGCCAGGCGCCCCACCTTCGCCGCTTATTTTATTTTTTTTAAAAATAATTTAAATAATTACCTTGCCACCAAGTCGCTGCCTTTCCTCCGCCGTCGCCGCCACCACCTCTTTCCCTTACCGCTTTTAGAAAGATGTAGTGAGTGGTTTTTTTTAAAAACACAAAGGGCAATAAGGTCACTTCAATACAAATTTGTGGGCTTTATGTGGAGATTTGCGGGCGATGTTTAGCGATTCACTTATTTTTTATACTTATACTAATGTCAAGGTTAGTGAAGCATTAGACTTTATTTTTAAAAAAACCACATCAATTAGAGTGGTTCCTTCTAGGTTTTCTCCTTGGGAGGGTTTTTTTTATTATTTCCTCTAGAGTTTCTCTCTTGGGAGGGTATTCCTAGCCTCCATTGCTTGGTTTTTTTTTTTTTTTTTTATATTTTTATTTTTTTAAATTTTTTTTTTTAAGGTTTTCCTTCTGTCTTCTTCCATTTTTCTCCATACTACCATCTTTTTGCCTCTTGGTCTCAGTTGTGAATCTTTGTAGGGGCTTCCATTGGTGTTCTTACCAGGGGCGGAGCTACAAGGGGGGCTGGCAGGGCCTTGGCCCCCGTAGCCTAGCCTCGCGGCCCATAATTTTCTAACTTGGACCCCTGTAAATTTATTGTATATGTATTATTAAGTGAATATTAACTTCACATAAATGGTCTTGCTTTAGTGGTATATAGGTAGTACATGATAGTACACATGGTCACTTGTTCGATTTTCCTAGCTCTCTCACTTTGCTTTTCTCTTTTATTTTTCTTGTATAATTTGGGAGTTTTTTTTTTCTTTTATAATCCCACTTCTTTATTTTTTTTTCTTTAAAAATTTTCTTAAAAAAAAAATAAAAAAAATAAAAATTCTTTAATAATTTGGCTGGTTGTTTTTTTTTTCTTTTATGAGATGGCAAATGAAGATTCAATGCTTCAAATTCAATAATACTTTGTCTAAATTTTATTCATTTATGATATTTTGTTGATTGATGATCATCATAATTTTGCCTGTGTATGATGTTGTGACATACATTCAAAAAAATACATGTACTTTCTAAGATCTAAATGTTTCATATTGCTATTTTATGTTTCTACTTATTTTTGTTAATCGTTTTTGAATTTGAGTAGAGTTTGCCTTGTATATGATGTTATAACATACATTCAAAAAAACACGTAACTTTCTAAAATAATTTAAATGTTATATATTGCTAGTTTATATGCTTCTCTTATTTTTTATTAATTTTTTTTTATTGATTTAGAGTAGTTTTAACTTTTACTGCAAAGTTCTTCGTAT